TGGATGGATGGATGGATGGATGGATGGATGGATGGATGGATGGATGGATGGATGGATGCTCACTCAACTGTGCTGCGTCAAACGAGGAACCTGAGTTTGCAGTAGTTGCTGCAGCACCTCCAGGTTTCTCGGCGTTGGCTGCAGGCAGAGCGACAGACGCCTCCAATCAGAAGAAGCAGAATGAAAATAATTAGACAATCAGGACTGCAATCATCGTACGAGCGCGGAGAACGTGCACTCAGTTCAGCAGGTAAACAGACTGACGTGGTCTGAAGCTCCAGTCCTGCAGGCACCATGCTCACCTCTGCACAAGTGTTTACACAAAGTTTATGGTCACGTTTACTGTGCTGCTGTGGTTTTATTGGTTATTTACTAGACAGATGGCTTTTTTATTTATTTTCCTCCTCGTGTATCAGTGAGTGAGAATAAATTAAAAAGAACAGCCGTTTGTGATTAAGTGTCATCATGAACATAAAGTCCATAAAGATCTGAATATCAGTTTTCAGGGTTGAAGGGGTGGACCTTTGGTCAAAATGTTTCTTTCTGAAGTTTTAGTTGGAGTTGGTGACACCTGCGGCCGATATTGATAAAACACTTGTCGATCTCCAAACATCACGTTTAGACAGTAACTGTTCACATTGGTGACACGTTTAAATGAACGTGCAGCTGAGTCTAAACGTGTGGATTTCTTGGTACAACTTAAAGATAAGAACCAGGAAGATGCAGTTCGAGCCAGAGTTTGACCCTCATGCAGGATGGAAAGGTTTCTGAGCATGGAGTCGTTCTTCTGAACATTGTGCTTCTGTTGTTGTAATTAGTTTTGTAACTTTCTCTCAGTTGAAATTTATTTTGAAGACTCTGTGTCCAGGCCTGAAACAGGAAAATAAACGACCTTTTACATGTTGCACTTGCACACGTGTTACATTTATAAACTAAAAAATTTTCTGAAATTTTGTTGTTTGGTTTTTTACTTTTTAAATTAGAGGATTTTGTTGTTTTTCTCAAACAATTTATTTCTAAAGCTCCAAACCACAACAGAAGTCATCTCAGGGCGCTGAACAGAAACATTCATGTATAAAAATAAGAAGAACGAGATCTTCCTGAAACTCTCCTTAGATGAACTTGTAATTTTTGTATATGAATGTTTCTGAGATGACTCTGTTGTGATTTGGAGCTTTACAAATAAACTGAGTTGACTTGAACACACCTTCAGTTCTCGTTCTCTCCCTGTTTGATCTACTGTGATCCTGCGCTGCCCTCTGCAGGCCGGTGTCTGCATGTGCGACGAGGGCTTCACAGAAGTTCTGTCTTCTGATGGGCAGCTGACCCAGTGCGCCCCCATCCCAATCCTGGAGATCCCCACGGCGGGGGACAAGAAGGGCGACGTGAAGACCAGCCGTGCCGTTAACCCCACGCTCCCCACCACCGTCCAGCCCGGACGCACCGGGCGGACCTGGTACCTGCAGCCCTACGGACCAGGTCAGACCACCACGCACTCGTTTATTCTGAAATATCACCAGATCTTTCTGTTCGTTCATATTTAAACCTTTGATCTCGTCCAGTTTCTGCTGACTAGTTAGAGGCTAGATGGACTTTAAAAGTTGTGCTTTATGTTGGTGCAGCGAGGTCAAAAAACACAGACGTTGATTAGTTTGTTTTTTTGATCGACTGCAAACAGCACTTAGATTGGAGGAAAACAAGAACGAAAATATGAAGATTTTATTAAAAACTTATTACTGTATACTCTGTAAACCAGGGCTATTCAACTGGCGGCCAGCGGGTGACTCACGTCAGGCCCGTTGATGAGTTTATTAATAATTGGGGGGGGGGGGGACAATCGGAACAAACCCACGAGAGAGGCCTTTAAAATGTTTGAAATGGAAAATGTTTGTCAGAGGCAATCCTGTTCCTTTTTCCACACTTTAAGATAAGCCCCCTCTTCTTCGGACAGGCCAGACCAGGCCAGGCTAGACTAAACCAGACCAGACCAGGCCAGGCTAGACTAAACCAGACCAGGCCAGACCAGGCCAGGCTAGACTAAACCAGACCAGGCCAGACCAGACCAGGATGGGCTGGACTAAACCAGACCAGGCTAGGCTAGACCAGGCCAGGCTAGACTAAACCAGACCAGGCCAGGCTAGACTAAACCAGGCCAGGCTAGACTAAACCAGGCCAGACCAGGCCAGGCTAGACCAGACCAGGCTAGACTAAACCAGGCCGGACCAGGCCAGGCTAGACTAAACCAGGCCGGACCAGGCCAGGCTAGACTAAACCAGGCCGGACCAGGCCGGCTAGACTAAACCAGACCAGGCCGGGCTAGACTAAACCAGACCAGGCCAGGCTAGACTAAACCAGACCAGGCCGGGCAGTTTCACACCGACTTCAGCAGGATCGACTCCTGGTGTCGGTTTACAGCCGATAACAGAGACTTCAACATAAACGTCAAAGCAGACCTGAGCAGGACATTAACAAGAACAAGCCATGTCCAAACCCAGAAACGTTGTTAAGTCAGAAACATTGCACATATATTGTCCACAAGGCTACCCAGCATGCTTTGCAGCTCATACAGTCTCTGGGACTGTCACGGGAAAAACTTTTGAGTTTGAGGGAAATAAAATAACTGTAAACAGACACATCTTTGCTTTAATCTGGGGCTACAAATATCCGTTGTGTTTAATTATAAGAATTAATTTAACAGAAGCACGAGTTGAGAGGCTGTGTGCTCTCGTGGGGGCGCCTCTTCCTCTCTTGCTCTGCGGGGAGTTCTGATGATCTGATCATATCAGTGTGTGATCGCCCGCGAGCCGGATTAAACAACAACAAACAGATTTATTACTTTGTAGCTAGTGTAAAAATAGTTAACCACAAATCAGATGGATTAAGTTAATTCAATAAAGGAGACGTTCGACATGCATCGCGCTCGCTTTCAGCCCGGCTGAGTTCTGCTCCGCCTCTTCTGGTTCTGATCAAAGCTCACACCTGAGCAGGACGTGGACGCTCCACCTGTGATTTATGAACCGATTGAGGCAGAACTGGTTCTTAATTCTATTCAGTCCAGTTTATTTCTAACGCTCCAAGTCACAACAGAAGTCGTCTCAGGGACTGAACAGAAACATTCATCTCTATAAAATAATAATTTAACTTTATTTATCTGAGGAGCAGACTCCATCACAGAACTCTCATCTTGAGCAAGAACGGACCCACCTGGAACATGTTGGTCATTCAGGGAACATAAAAACAGCAAATATTTTTATTTTATTTTTGAAAAGCGTAAAGATTTGTCACGTCAGAGACGGCAGAATAATATTTATGTTAAATAGGAGGCATAGTGTGTCGGATTTGTTTTTAAGTTTCATATTAAAATATCACTACTTTAACTGCAAGGAAATAAATCTTGAAATGTAATATCTTAGAATTACGCTTTTGGGTTCTGGTTATTGCATTTATAATTCAATGCAATAAAATAACGACATTTTAAAGGTAACAAATCATTGTAGTACTTGGTTTATTTACATAATGACTTTAATTGCTGGATGTCCGGCCCCTGAGCTGTGTAGCTGAATAGCCCTGCTGTAAACTGTATACATCAGTTTTACTCTCTATGCAAAGTTTTTTGTCTTTTGAACATTTATCCTTAAAAATTTACTTCTTTTTTATTTTACCTACAGAGCAAAACAGTAACATTAGGACGAAGCCAAAAAGAGTTCTCTTGACAACAGCAGGAGTTTTTTATTTTTTGTGTCATCAGATTTTAATCAACATGAGTTAACTGCACATGCAGCAGAGCATGTAGAAACCTAAAACGTTGCGCAAGTTCTGTAAGATTTTTTCATTCATTCAACCTTTATACAGATTAATCCAGATGGCGCCTCGGGGACTCATTTACAAGTGACACCTGTTTAGACAGACAACAAAGTAGAGAAAAGTGCCAACAGGGTACGAGGAGGCAAAAAATCATAACTGGCACTAAGCCCTGGCAGAGTGTCAAACAATAAGTTAATAAGGTTAACAATAATAATAATAGGTTAACAAGATGCTCTCAGCTGCTGCTACGTTTAAAAAGTGTCCGTTTTATGAAAAATGGTGCAAAAGAAACATTTAGGAAGCAGGAGTGCAGAACAAATGGAGTTTGTTCCAAATACACCAAGTGTGGGCAAATCTAAACGGATGTTTTTAACAAAGCTTGTGATTTGCAGTGATTACGGTAGTTGCATTAATTAGACTCCAAAACTATATCGAACGCTTCATTCTAGTTAAATGTAGAGTCAAGACAAAGAAAATGTGAGATTGTAACAAATACAGTACCAGGTATCTGCAGAGAAACAAATTTACACCATGGTCAAATGAATTATGTTATAGATTTTACATTTGCAATGCTAGTTTAACCATTTTTTGACGGACTTGAAGATAAAATAAACGATCCAATTTGCTCAGTTTCCAACAGATTTGAGTGTTGCTCAGACAGGATGTGGATTATTATTGTAATTTGGAGAGTTAAAACCCTCGTAATAAAACATCAGCCAGTGGTAATTTAGTTTTTACAACCAGAAACAGCTTTTATTTTCCTGGCTGTTTCCACAGTGAACCAGCACTGACCGTTCCGTTAGCCACCTTCGTAAAATATTACATTTTCTCCTCAAGAATTATTCAAATCATAAAAACACTGTTGCAGCCCATGAGAATGTATGCAGATACATTCACAACTTACAAGAGATATAGCGTTTGGAGTTTGAGTGTAAATATCTGCAATTCCTTTAAGACAGCGTTTGGATCCGTCTCTGAAAACTGGATAAAATGATTCTGTAGTGTCGGCTTTTATCCAACATTTACAGAAACACTGAATCTAACGTTGATTTATATTCTTTAGACAAGCTGCTGCTGTACAGTGGTGCTTAAAGTTTGTGAACTCTTTATCATTTTCTATATTTCTTCATAAATATGACCTAAAACATCAGATTTTCACACAAGTCCTAAAAGTAGATAATGATATAAGATAAATGACTAAAATATTATACTTGTTCATTTATTTATTGAGGAAAATAATCCAATATTACATATTTGTGATTGGTAAAAGGTGGTGAACCTTTGCTTTCAGTATCTGGTGTGACGCAGTTCATGGATGGATGTTCTGACATTTTCCTTAAAAATTCTGATATAATCCAGAATTCATTGCTCCATCAATGATGGCAAGCCGTGAGCAGCGATGTTCTTCAGCGGTTTTCCTCTTTCAACCCTGCACTCCATTGTTGTTCAGAGTTCTCCTGATGGTGAGCTCATGAACATCAGTCAATGTGAGAGAGAAGTTACCCTGGGCTCCTTCGTGACCTCACACACTATTTGCTCTTGGAGTGATCTTTGGTGGTCCACCACTCCTGGGGAGGGTAACGATGGTCTTAAATTTCCTCCATCTGTCTGGTTGTGGATTGGTGGAGTCCAAACCTTTACAGATGTTTTGTAACCTTTTCCAGCCTGATGAGCATCAACAACTCTTTTTCTGAGCTCCTCAGAAATCTTTGTTCCTGCCATGATCCACTTCCACAAACGTGTTGTGAAGAGCAGACTTTGATAGATCCCTGTTCTTTAAATCAAACAGGGTGATCACTCACACCTGATCATCATCCCATTGATTGAAAACACCAGACTCTAATTTCACCTTCAAATTAACTGCTAATCCTGGAGGTTCATAAACTTTTACCACTCACAAATATGTAATAATGGATCATTTTACTCAATAAATAAATGACCAAGTACAATATTTTTTATCTCATTTGTTTAACTGGGTTCTCTTGATCTACCTTTAGGACTTGTGATGTTTTAGGTCATGTTGATGAAGAAATATAGAAAACTCTAAAGGCTTCACATACTTTCAAGCATCACTATAAATGGCAGCAGAAATCTTTCTCCTCTGAGGAAACTAGTGCAAATAATGAGCTGTATCATTACGTTAAATTAGCAAAGAGAGATCTAACACATGCAGGATTGTGTTTGAGTTTACAGAATTATTTTAATAACTTGTTGGTGCCGTGTTGAAACTGACGAGCCTCCTCCTCCACAGATGGGAAGCTGAAGATGTGGGTGTATGGTGTAGCAGCCGGAGCCTTTGTGCTCCTCATTTTCATAGTGTCTATGATATACCTAGCTTGGTGAGTCGATGAGTTTAATCTACCCTGTTTGTCATCTTCCTCATTCATGAAACATCCATTATTTTTTGTCCCCGCCCACTTTGAGTTGAAGCATGCCCATCACATCACTGTCTTCATTTTTTCTGCTTCGTGTGAGAGCAGCAGCCTCTGTGCCAAGGTGCATCACTCTCTTAAGACCCAAGAGCCTGACACCAACGGGACGGCGATGTGGACAGGCCAGAACTCACATGAGATGGTTTACATCTGTCCTGAATGTCAAGAGCTGACTCAAAACAGCAGTAGTTAATGATGAAGTGGAGGGCTCAGCCCCCACCCCAACACGCCTCTCCCCCAGTCCCTGAATTCCCCCAAGAGCTCTGGAAAAGTGCCCAATGTTCTGCCTGACTATCTGAGTGAAGGTGCAGGTGAGGAAATATAGTGTTTAGAGCTTCTAGACCATGTAGATCCTGTTCCTCTCCCCAATTTTTACTGAACCCAGTCCTAAGTGCTCCACAGCTGAGTGGTCCAAGTGGTCTCATAGCCAGTAGTGTTCAGTAAATTATAGAATAGCTTAAACATGCCATTTTTCCTATCAATATATTTGTTCTGTGGAAAGGTTAAGAACCATATCTGTTGTAGACAGCTTTCTGAATGACCTCAGTTTGGAGAAATTATTTCTGACCAGATTAAAGAGCTAACGACGAGTATGCTGTCATCTATAAACAACTCAAATATTTCATAGCGATGTATGAAATGCTATTTTATAAACCGATAAGACCACTGTCAATTTTACATTACATGGTTGCTCTAGCAGAAACAGAACATTCAACGGGAAGTGCTGCGTCTAGCTACTAGTGCTTTTTGTGTCCATTCATCGTCTGCTGCTTATCTGAGAATAGATCGTGAGTGAAACAGCTTAGATCCCCAGACCTCCGATGCTCCCACCTCAAACTCACTGGGAAGGACTTCCAGGGAGTCCTGGGAGGTCTCAAGGCCAGTGGGGCATGTCTGAAACACTTCCAGTGAAAAGTGTCCAAACGGCATCATTACCAGCTGCTGACACTACTTGAAACAGTTCCATTTAACACTTTATTCACAATTGCTATGAAAATTTGGAGAATGAACAAAGAATGATTCAACACACTTGTATGGACAAAAACAAACAAGGAACTTGGTGTCCCTTGCCTGGACGTGGTCTACCAGGGCCCCACCCTTGGGACATAACCTCTCTGGTGGGGAAGAAGCCTGAGCTTGTGCGTGAGGTTGAGAGGAACCGACTAGATATAATTGAGCTTACCTTGATGGACAGCATGGGCTCTGGAACCAATGTACTTGACAGGAGTGGACCTTATTCCAATGTGGAGTTGCCCATGGTGTGAGGCGCCAAGCTGGTGTGGGTCTACTCTTAGCTCCCCGACTTGGTGCCTGTGTGTTGTGAGTTTTCCCTGGTAAATCAGAGGGTGGCTTCTCTGTGCCTTCGGATGGGGGGACGGGTTGTGGCGATTGTTGTTTACACCTATGCAAACGCCAGTTCAGAGTATCTGGCCTTCTTGGAGTCCTTAACGGTGCTGCTGGAAGGTGATCCAGCTTGGGACTCCTTCATTCTGCTGGGGGACTTCACTGCCCACGTGGATAATGACTGTGTGACCTGGAAGGGTGCGAATGGGAGGAACGATCTCTCTGATTTGAACCTGAGTGGTGTTCTGTTGATGGACTTCTGTTAGTCATCTTCATGATGGACAAAAAACCATGACTAACATAATTGTGTCTATAAGTGCACTTGGCACCAGGACACTCTAGGTTGTAGATTGATGATTAACTTTGTAGTCATGTCATCTGATTTGTGGCCGTTTGTTTTGGGCACTCTGGTGAAGAGAGGAGCTGAGCTGTCAACTGATCACCACCTGGTAGTGAGTTGGATCAGATGTCAGGGGAAGATGCCGGACAGAGCCGGTAGACCCATACGTGTAGTGAGAGTTGCCACGAACACCTGGCAGAAGAACCCATCAGAAAGATCTTCTACCCACACCCCTGGGAGAGCTTTAACCACATCTCAGCTAAGGCAGGGGACATTGAGTTTGAGTGGGCCATGTTTTGTTCCTCAGTTGTGGCAGCAAGGTTGTCAGTGCTTCTCATGGAGGTCATCCTCAAACTCAGTGGTGGACACCCTGGGTTAGGGAGGCTGTCAAGATGAAGAAAGAGTCCTATCAGGCCTTGTTGGATGATGGGACTCCAGAGGCAGCTGAGGAGTACCAGAGGGCCAAGTGGGTTGCAGCCTTGGCTGTTGCTGAGGTAAAAGCTCAGATGTGGGAGGAGTTTGGTGAGGCCTTGAACAGAGACTGGATCAGCTCAGAGGATATTCTGGTAAACCATCTGGGGGTTGAGGAGGGGAAAGCAGCTCTTTACTAACAGTGTTCAGTGAAGGTGGAGTGCCTTTGACCTCAACCAGTGACGTCATCAGGAGGTGGAAGGAATACTTCTCAGATCTTTTCAATTCCACCGGCACATCTCCCATGGAGGAAGCCGAGTCAGGAGACTTTGAGGTTGGTCTGTCAATAACTGTGGCTGAGGTCGCCAAGATAGTTAAAAAGCTCTGCGGTGACGGACCAGATCCGCCCCGATTTCCTCAAGACTCTGGATGTTGTGGGGCTGTCTTGGATGACAGACTGTGACAAAATGGAGTTATTTGAAGACGGCAGCAATCCAGTTTGGACTAATCGCCTCAGGGACTAGTCCTTCTGGTCAAATTTTACGTGCTTCTCCAAACTGAAGTCTGTCAAAGTATTATCTACATCAGTTCAGATTTTTTTACAGAAAACTTTCTTCTCGTTGTAACTTTAATGTCAGCATATTTCTTAAAAGGTACAACTACCGAAAGACTGAGAGTCTGAGGTTGATTTTTAGTGGGATGTGTGAAAACATTCTTTTTAGAAAGACAATGTAAAGGTAAAACTGTATGAATGTTCTCCGTTGATCTGATGAAAGGGATTCACTTTTGATAGCAAACATCTATTTTACAAAACTAAATGTTTTCGTCTAAAAATAGTGAATATACTACGCCTGAATTGATTTAAGAAACTAAAACGTATTAAGGTGCTGCAAAATGAAAAGCTGAAGCCAATTACTCTTAATCCTCTCACAAAATACTGTGTATAAAGCTTCAGGCCATTTTTTAATCTGACTAGCAAGAATGGCCTGAAGGTTCATGCACCATATTCCATATTCTGCAATAAGATTAAGCATATTTAAGATTAAGAATCCTTGCGATCCTCTTCATCATGTCAGCAGAGTACTTTAGGAACACACTGTGTGTTTATAAAAAGATGTAAAGTCTCTGTTTTGTCTTTTAACGTAATCCTTTACTTAAACATTGTCTTATGTCCCAACAGAATGTATTTTTGTAGCTGTAAATCTTCCACAAGTTGATTCTAAACATCTGGTTTGTGGATTTGTTACAGGACTGACCAGTAACAGGCAGATGACATGAAGCTGATATCTGAATATTAACTGATTTCAAACAATCAAAAGTAAATGTGGAGTTAGAGTAGGATGGTAAAACACTGCCCTTTGGTGGCAAATCAAGAAAGTATACGTATTCATGTCAGATCAGCCTTATTCAGATTAATTTAATTAGATCATTTCTAAAACGGTCTGATTTTACTCTAAATAGGCGTTTCCTTTTTAAGTTTTTAGTTTACACATTGTTTGCCCTTATCTCTGTGTTTTACATTTCCAAACATCTCAGCACTGCAGACAGCAGGAGAAAAGTTTAACTGCTATTGAATGGACTGTCTTGCTGTCTGATTAAAATAAATTCGTAACATAAATGGTATTAACTTCAGCCTGTTAGTTCATTAAAGGATATTTTTTGAACATCATACATTTTATTACATGGAAATATGAACGCTGCACCAATGACAGCTCAGAGTAAAAATCATAGCTTTACCTTTCCTCTAAAGGCCTCTCTTGCCCCAGGACAGAAAAATAGAAGATGTCATGTTTGCATGCAAATTAGATCCTGATTCTTTTATTGCTTTTAAACTTTTGAATCCTGTCAAAACGTAGCTCTTCCACAGTTTCTTGTTTGAGTAGTTTAACCATTTGAAGTCTTAGTCGGTCAGAATTAGGTTTCAAACTGTACATGCGTCACAAAATCTCTGCTTTCTCCTACAGACTAAAAACACACGTTGGGTTAATTAGAAATTAAAAATTGTGGGACGTGAATTGTCTTGTTTGCCTCCATGTGGTGGACTTGTGGCCTGTCCAGGTGTAGCCCACCTCAGTGATAATGGAGATGGGCACGGGGGGGTTCAGCAGTTTTATATAAACATTTAAAATACAACTGGTCTAACTCTAACCTACAACTCAGAGATGTCCTCTTGTTTTTGCTCCGTGACTTGCACACGCCACAATGGCCAGACCCAGAACTCGCAGGGGGGATTATGTATCCGCTCTGGTCTGGGAATGCCTTGGGGTGCCCCATAGGCTCTGGATGGTGTCACTGGGAGAGGGAGGTCTGGGTTTTCCTTCTGAATCTGATGCAAGGACCAGCATTTTGTCAAAATTAGGTAGAAAATCCGTAGTAATAAAATCTGTAAAGCCAAGGAGTTGGTTTTTCTCCATCACTGTGGCTCATTTCACCTGCAGTTCATGTTCCACCCACATTCGCTCTACACCTGCAGCATCACCTGTGTGGTACTGGGTCAGCACTTAATTCTGTTTCAATCTTTTCACAGCAAAAAGCCAAAGAGACCTCAGAGACAGAGGCAGCAAAACAACCGACTAAAACCTCTGACTCTCGCCTACGACGGGGACACGGACATGTAGTCCTTGGAGAGACAATTGGCCGAGCACTTGACGTGTCACAGAGACCCACTTCATCAAGCCATCACAGTGAGGGACATGGATGTTTGCAGCACGAATGGACACACAGAAGATAATCCTCTTAGCAGAAACACTGTTGTGTTAAATGGTTTAAGTTGAGCTCTGGTAACTCCACTTTTATTTCTTTTTTATTTTGTCAGAGCCTCCACGACCTCCAGCTCTCTCCGTGAGATACTCTTTTGTTCCTGTTCCTTATCACCAACTTATTTGAGACCCAAGAACAGCTGGGTGCAGAGGAGAGTCTCGTCGGCTCTCCTGCTGTTTCCGAACATGGCAGCGCCCCCACTTCCCCTTGCTTATTCCGTTTGTCCCTGAAAACGCTGAGTAGCTGGAGGCTTTGGACGCTCTGACGGTTCGTACGTTGCCAAAAGTCACCGCAGGGAAGAGCAGGAGGAGGAGGAGGGAGAAAATCTCCATCAAAAGGTTTGGATTCCTTTTCCCTCAATCCTCATCTGGGTTCTGACTCAAATCTCTTTTCCGGTCTTGAACAAAAGGAAGGCTTTCTCCTCTGCCTCATTCAAGCTTGTGTTTGTGGATAAACTGATCCAAACGATGCTGATGGAGGAGAAGCCTGGAAACTACTGCCTGCCTGTTTGCCCTTGCTTTCTTTCAGGCACTACATTGCACTATATTAGTGCAGCATGATATGCACACGTGACTTTACCTTCTATTGCCATAAAGCACTGCCTCTTCCACGAACGGAGCAACCACCAACACAAGCAGGAGTGAGGTGCATATGTGCACGTTTTATTTCTCACAGCAGAGGTTTTGGTTTTTTTGGGTTGTAGTAAAGTGCATCTTTGTGGTGTGTAGATCTCGTCTGGTGTTATCACTTAAGCACAGATGCAACTCCGATAACAGCGGGTGTTTTTTTTATTTATTTATTATTATTCCATTTATTTTCTTATTGTTTACATGAAGTAAAATACAACGTGTAGAGAAAAACTGAAGCCATTCACGTCACGCAAACGTCATTTCTGCCTTACTGACACCAAACGGGCAAATACAAACTAAAGCTTCTGTTTCTCGTAGGAAAACAGTGGGTTTATCCAACGTACTAACCGCATCATAGAAGCTCTATTGTTTTTGGTCTCACTTTAGAGATAAAAATATATTTAGAAAAAGGAAACAAACACTGTACAAATATATTATACAATATGTAAATACTAACATGCTTCTTCAGAGTTCGGTGTGAAAAAAGCAACTGGTGTGGAGAATGTTTACTTTCTTCGTGAAATTTGTAAATAATGTTTTTTTATTTTTTGGAGAAAAAAACTTGAAAGTATGTGTACATTTATTTTGTATTGCACAGAAAATGTTAGTTTGAAATATTGCAAAGTGGGTGTATGATATTGTTGTATGTTGTGACAAAAACGAGGAGAAACAACAAAAAAAAAAAAGATTTGATCGTTTTGTACAGGTTGTTTGTGTGTATGGAAAGAATTAATGAAAATAAATGAGAACACGGTTGTCAACAAAACAAGTCAATGATTTTTGTTTAAGCATTAAAACCTTCAAGTGTCTCGTTCATGACCTCCAACAACCACCGGGTGTCGCTGTCAGAAAATAAAAATCTCTGGAGAAAAAGGGGAAAAACAATTTGCTGGTCTTGATCAAACCAGCTGTACTGGAGAAAAGGTGATTTTTATTAAAAAATAAACTGATACACTTGAAAATAAATATTAGAAAATCTCCACCAGCACAAAACAAATGGAGCTTTTAAACTAACAGAGATATTATTGTCCACTGGAGTTTCTCACAAACTCCCAAAAAACCAGTTCAATATTGTGTAAAAAATTACGTCTAAGTAGTTGTGACATATCAAACATGATTAAAATATCCAAAATAAGAATCTGATCTACCGATACTATAAACCTGAAGTGTTAAATGTCATAATTCTGCACTATAATCCTATCAAATGTCTTTTAGGTGTATAAATAATGCTAAATATCCATATTTTTCTATATAAAACCATAAAACGTTGCTTTATTTATATTCCATATATTAATTAATTAGTGTTTGTCTGGAACTGTTCACATTTGATGTTTGAAAGCAGCAAATGTGTCACTGGCTCAAAAATAAATAAATCAGTACTAAGATGTTCTGGACAACTCCAACAGCTTTTTCTATGAATTTGTTTCATCGTTTAAAAAGCTAAAGATTTAGACGTCAACACGAGCAGGAAAAAACAGGAAAGTTTATCCAGCACAGAAACTAAGAGAATAAATGTTTTCTTGTTTTTAATCAACTTTCTTTGCCTGTTTAAGTCAAGGCAGTACAAAGATGACTACGAATCTTAACACGTATGTTTTAATACCCGACACTAATCATTGACCACAAAAGGTCTTCAGACTATACCGAGACGGGACTAAACCCGACTTTACGGCACCGTTTACCTCTTTGGACATGGAGCGACGTCACTTCTGTAACTGTTCAACTCAAGATGCAATGTAGACACGTCCAAAACTGAACCCCGTCTTTCTCTGGCGTCTCACTACAAGGAATTTAAACCGTTGGTATTAAATGAACGTTTGTTCTTAACTGACTGACCACAGGTGATAAAATAAAACTTCAAATTTTACGTTTTGACTTTAAGAAAATGTGCGTTTCTGTAGGTTATAGTGTGTTTGAGGGCGTTTTAAGACTTGAGGTTCCACCACGAGTTACCTCGTGGTATAGAGATTAAAAACAGAGATTTCTTTGGAAAAGGGACAAGGGATGTTATCAATACTTTAATGGATCTAATGGTTTTAGAGTCCCCCCCCCACACACACAGGAGGAAGATCTAGGATATCACTAAAACCTCCTGCTTCCAACAGTAAGTGCAGCAACAATCAATTATACGATTTGACCAAGATAAATTATTTTATAAATGAAATGGTTTGCCCAAACAGATATCACCATCAAGAAGTTTTTCTAATGATGTGCAGTCCTAAAGTGAAAGTAGCATTCCTTGAAGGAATGCATATCACCCACCGCCTGCACCGCCACATTTCAAGAGTTCAAGCTGATTCTCGGCTACAACCACTTCAAACTTTAACTTCAACCTGTTCGGCGAGGAGAAGACGTTTTGTGCAGGCTCAGTTCAATCAGTCGCGGCGTCCATCTTGAACATGGCTGACTCCAAAAGTTAATTGGTTGTAGAGGTGCAGCATTGATTAAGAGTTTTATTAAAAATAATCTCATGGTTCATGAGGTTATTTGCTAAAATACAATTACATGATTGCAGGCCATTTTAGGCAATGGGTTGCAAAAGTCCAGGGATTTGTGCACTGATGATGAACATTTCTGTATTTTTGGTTAAATAAAAACTTTAAGAAACTGGTGATTACATGGTTTTAGAGCTGCATTCCTCCTAATGGAAGCACAGCAGTACCGTCCTCTTGATAAAGTCACAGAGAACCAACACATGAGGTGGAGTTGAGTTCTCTCTCAAGTGAAAGCCTTTGCAGACCAAAGCCACTAGATGTCAGCCTTCAACGATGTTAAAAGTAAAGTTGCTTCTCCAAAATCAATAATGTGAACGTCCCCGACTGCTCCCCCTCCTCCTTTTCCACTCCGTGTCCTCCCCGACTCTCTCCCTCCCGTTATAAAACATCCCGCCACACTGACAAACAGATGTGCAAACGTCTCCGTTCTCAGCGCGGCGTCAGCGAACCGCCCGGTTCTACCTTCAGACACCTGACCCTTCCTGGATGAGCCGGAGAAGATTCGTCTCCCCTCCGGACCGCCTCCCTCACTCACTGCTTCTCCTCAAGTTCGGTAGCTGATACCGGCTCCGTTAGTGAGAAGAAGACTGAACGAGAAGATCAGGGACAGCTGACATGAGGGCAGACGCTCCACGGAGAAGCATGAAGAGCACGTGTCTGTGGGCCGCCGCTGCGCTGCTGTCACTCATCTCTCTAGTGAGTTAAATGTCATTTTGATGTGACCTTTCGTTGTATTTGCATTTTATACCTCAAGATACCCGTGAATGATTTCTACAGTCTTTTAGCAGCAAAAACACAGAGGCATGTGAACACAGACCAACAATCGGTCATGTTGAGAGAACGGTGGGAAACATTTTACGTTGTGTAGTTTTCTAACATTTCATCTATATTTTGGTCATTTTTAAAACCATGTAATTTCTGCTCATCTCTATGACTTTAAAAAGTATGTTTAAATCCAGGATTTCCAAATCCCTAATGTGCATTTTGATCAATCCAACCCGCTGCCCGCGGCACCGTCCATCCAGTGCTTCCTATTTATCCCTCCTATTTACAGATGTGCTTCAGCAAAAGTACATCTGACAGCACGGAGGAGAACAGCCTGAGCCCATTATGACAAATACACCAGAATGCTTGCAAGCTCAATGCCTTGACAGTTTGTGACAAGCCAATTCCTTTAATCCCTGAAGAGACAGTAACCCCTCACCCGCTGATAAATCTGTCAACAAAGCAATCAAAGCAGGGCAGGAGCCACTCCCCTCTCTGATGGAAGCAAAAAATCCCTAAACTTAATCCGCACAAACTTGACTGGCCTTGAAAAGCTCCTGTGGCGTTATCTGTGTTTAATTTGCATAGTGATGGAAAGAAGTCAATTACTATTAATTATTCTCTACAACTTAATACCCATTATCGAATTGAATTCACCGTCTTGAAAACCATAAACTCAATTTCACAGCTGACTAAGCGCACTAATCATTTCACCCCGCTTACTTCTCTTTTTTGTACTTTATGGAGCCCGTTTGGCTTTAAAGGAAAACAATTCTTGGATTCCAAGAACAACATCCACTACCATGTGTTCTCCCTTTTGTCACGACGCACTAAAGACAAAACGATCGTTAGGAGGGTTATACGTGCCGTTCTAAAGCATCGTGGAAGTTGATCTCAGCATTCTCCGACAGTGTTTCCTCCTAGACCGGGTAGCCAAATTGCTTCGCTATGCTTTAATGGGATGATCATAATTGTTTCGTACTTGGTGCATCCTAAGCTTTTGCCTGCAGCTCCTTCAACAGATTGACAGACCCATGGGAACCTCACAAACTTATTTTGGCCGCCTTTGAACCAAGTCGTGTGTGAAATAATATGATTATGCATTTTTCCTCTGGGTAAGTTGGAAAACTGGTGGCTAGGTTTTTTTCTTCTCCCCCCACATCTTTCTTCTTCTCCTCCCCCCAAATATCCTGCAGTCTGTCCTGGAAGAGTATTTATCCTCCTCGGAAGCCACGGTGGTAATCATGCCCTGGCCTCTTAAAGCACGGCGGCAGCGATGTGACTCAGTTTCATCCACAGTTGCCTGTGATGTCTTGACACACTTTGTGATTTGTCATCATCTCTGACCCCCCCTCAGGTAACACTTTGATATCACTTGGAGAATATAGACCTAAACGCTCGGTGGGTGTCAAATGCCCTCGTCTGATCTTTCAGCTTGATGACGGGAGAACTGGCCAGGCAAGTTAAATTCTATGCAAATGAGTTGGATGATCGTATCTCAAGATCCCAGTGTGGGAAAAATGAGCATACTTGAGGCTTGGAACATAAAGTAAGATATTATTTAATAAATCCTGACAAGAGGGAGTCCTAAGATGTGATTAGAAACAACATAAAGTCATGATTAAATAAGTTTTGGCTGCGAGTTGGACAAAAGGCTTTCCAAGAGTAGACAGACCGTTAATTTTCTGAATGTTTCAGCCAAACTCGGCACAGCATCCAATCAGGAATCAACAGTACCCCTTCACCCACCCCCCGTTCCTCCATCAGCCCAGTCGCTCTCCATTCTGTTAAACCTTACCTGTCGCAGCCACAAATCTTCCCCCACACAGCAGCCACAACATTCAGGAAAATGAAAAGTGACACACACTTTCATTCTTCCACACAGGGTTTTGTGTAGGAGCCAACCGCAGTGTCATCTGGCTCCTCCAGCGCTTCTATTAAAGGTGGAATTTGTTGGCTGTTCGGGGGTCCGGCCCATAGAATATCCTCCGAGCTCCCGAGGGAAGCCGGGGGGTTGTTTATCTTCCTGTTTCAAAGAGAGGACGCCTGCGCCTTATCACAGCCCCGCCAAGAGCAGATAGCATTTAGGTTTGTCCAACAAGCCTGCCTGCACGCTGCATCAGGCAATCTAAGAGTCGTTTCCTAAAGGACTCCAGCATGGCGACGCCGTTATCTTGTTGAGGAATTCTGCCTCATAAGCTGAATTCATGGAAATCATGTTAAGAGGCAGGTAAATGGGGTTTTGAGGAGGGGTGCCTGGCCAACTGCAGGTGGAGAAGTTGTCAAATATAAAGAATGAAAGTCTCTTAAAGTGACTGGGAGAGGCCTTTGAATATTTTTAAATTACAAGCCGACACATCACAAACTCTGCACTTGCACACTAGTTCATTTAAAAATATATCTTAATGGTTTTTAACAAATGCCAAGTAAACCTATAGCTATTAAGTTGTTGAAGGAGCTGGAAATAATTTAGCACGAAGTGAAGGCCCTAAAATATTCTGGAAATTTAAAATGATTAAGTGTACCGGTGGCACACGTAGAGCTGCTGCCTCTCAGCGAGCAGGTCCCCGGTTCAAATCCCGGCCCAGGGGCCTTTCTGGGTGGAGTTTGCATGTTCTCTCCGTGCATGCGTGGGTTTTCTCCAGGTACTCCCGTTTCCTCCCACAGACCAAAAACATGCATGTTAGGCTGATTGGTAACTCTAAATTGTCCCTAGGTGAGAGTGAGAGAGAAAGGTTGTTTGTCTCGTTTGTCTCTATGTGTCTCTGTGATGGACTGAAGACATGTCCAGGTGTCCCTGTGCTGGACTGGAGACATGTCCAGAGTGTCCTCCTCCTCTCGCACAGTGACTGCTGGATATGGGCACCAGTGACCCCCCCGCGACCCGAAAATGAAGAAGCAGGTAAAGATGATGGATTAAGTGTACCTGTAAAGCATTCACTATTTTTAATAATTTTTAATAAAATACACCACTTCATTTTAAAACTGCAAATATTTAAGTTAAAGTTTTTAGGTTAAACAATAGAGCTGTTTATCATCACTGTTGGGGCTTTTATGCGTGGAGTTTGCATGTTCTGCCCGTGCATGTGTGGCTTTTCTCCGGGTTCCTCCCGCAGATCAAAACTACATTCGTTTTAAAATTGTTACTATAGATTCAAAACGTTTTTCTGTCCCCGAAGAAAATTAATGAATGAAAACAGAACTTTGGGATCGTTCTTGTTTTTTACACCATTTGTCTTAAAAAGTCAACTGAAACCGAGTCGAGCCAAACGATTAAAATAGATCTTTAAGATGTTCCAGCTGAATATTCTCTGCATCTTTCTTAACACACGAGGAAAATGAAGTAATTTAACACATTTAGTGAGCATCCCTAGCAGAGGGTATAAATAAACTGTTTTTATGAGTGTATGCTCTTCGTAATGAAGAGATGTGTTAGTAGTGTGAAAGTGTGGCTCGGATGTGTTTTTGAATCGTTTGGGGACGACGGTGGAGCTCTGTGGGACAAACTGAATGAGATAAATGTGGTGACACGTGTCACCGCCGTATTAGTTCTGGTGTTTTATTGGGATCGTTGGGCTGAAGTTAATGGAATTCAACTGTAGCTAAATAAAAAAAAACTATCAAAAAGCATCAAAGTTCTTTCAGTTAAGTTTCTCTGGATAGTTTACGTGAACACAATGTATATTTTTCAGTTCTTTGTCTGTCCCAGTGCTTGGACTTCTTTTTACTGTTCAAACTTTTAGGGGGATTTTGGCATCTTGCTTTGAATATTGAAAGATTATGGACTGTATTAGACGTCAGACATCCTGGTCCAGTTATTTTGATACCATGTTCGCCTGGGTAGTAGTATGTAATATGTAGTAGTACAAGTATACACCAGCCAGCTCTCTTTTCAACTTTTGATCATGACTTTGGATCACGAACACCAGCGGACTTCTTGATTAAAGGTTCAGGAGATACCAATGACGGTTTAGTAGATTTAATTTATTTCATTAAAGTTGTGTAGTTTGTGTAACTTTTGATGGTTTGAAACTCTTCAATTTGCTGCAGATTTTTAAAAACTGCTTTATCAGCACAGATTGTTCTCTGTAATCTTTACCTTTGTCTGACGAACTCTTTTGGAACAAAAAATAAATAAATTCACTAAGAATTTATGCATTTTGTTGAAATTATTGAAATTATGAGTCTTGATTTAAAAAAAAAACACATAGTAACGGGGGATCATGTGTTTAAAACTAACGGTGCAGTCCGTAGCCTAAGTTTGGAGACTCCTTCAATATATTATACAACAAAATTTAGAGAACACAAAATCTGCTTCTAAAAAAGTGAAGTCTGGTCCTCTGGACTTTCACAGAAAAAAAAAAAAGTAGAAACGTTTCGTCTTTCATCCAAAAGACTTCTGAGGTGCTGTATTCAGCTCAAAATATAATAAATAAACATAATAAATAAATATATAAATAACACCTTCTCATAGTGGATCAACCAGTTTGTTGCCGACAGCCAGACCAGTGGTCATTCCATATGTTGAGGGAGTATCAGAGAAACGGAGACGTTTATTTTCTAAACATAACGTCCCAGTGGCTTTTAAACCCAAAAATACATTAAAGACTGGTTCATCCCAAAGATCCAGTCCCCCGGCACAAACAGAGTAATGTTGTGTATGCTGTTCAGTGTCAGGAGGGTGATCAGTCTTACATCGGGGAAACTAAACAGCCACTGGCCAAAAGGATGGACCAGCACAGAAGATCAACATCATCAGGCCAGGACTCTGAGGTCTACACTCATCTCCAGGTCAGAGGTCACTCTTTCAGGGATGAAGATGTTCACATCCTGGACAGAGAGGAACGATGGTTTGAAGGAGGAGTAAAGGAGGCCATCTTTGTGAAAAGAAACCGTCCATCATTAAACAGGGGTGGAGCCTCCAGGTTCAA